ATAATAAAATAAAAATGATTTAAAAATAGATCATAATAAAATATAATATAAAACTAATATAATATCAATAAAATAATCTAAAATAATGTTTAAAAATATCTATAATATTACAATATGTTTTCGCGTTATTGTTATTAAAAAAAAGTAATGTAAGATCCGCTATATTTTCGATATTAAGTTTTGTCTCAGAAGCCACAAATGTATCAGAATTCACTAAAGTAAAATTAGTATGTTGATTTATAATATAAGATTCGTCATTATCGAATATGTTGTCATCATCGAATATGTTGTTATTTATATTAAATATATCAACTTCCAAAACTGGAATTGTTGCCATATTAGCACAGGCCCATAATTCTTCTTTAGTTAAATCTTTCCCATAATATTCAAGTTCTTTCTGGATTTCTGAAAGCCAGTACATTTACAATTTAGCCATAGATTCAATATGCTTAATTGTAAGGCGATTTCTTTGATCTTCATAAAACCATTTCAGGATAGAGAAATTTCATTCACATGCTGTTTGTGATGGCATAATTGAAAACATTTTAACAGCCAAATCTTCTAGGCATGTGTGGTATCTTATATTATACATTAATCACTATGTAAGTGATGATTCACTTTGAGAATCAAACTCTATGTTGTAAGGTTCTTCATAACAAATGTATTTACAAAATTCAACTAATAAATCAATACATTTTGCTTAATCATGTCCAAGAGCTTTCCAATAGTTACTAGCCATAAGACATGCTAAACAAAATGTTTGATTTTTGAGACCATATCCTAATAATTAATTAATTATATTATATTATTTAATATACTGTATGTGTAATATATGTAACTGTAACTTTTAAATTTACTTACCATGATATAACGGATGTAAATAATAGCTTAAAAAATATGCTTTATGATTTAATTCTTCATATCGAATATTATAAATTTTTGTTATTTGTAATTTAAATGGATTTACTTCTGAAAGTTGAAAAATTGTCACGGCCAATTTTAATATATTAATATAACAATCTGCAATGTTGCAGTTCAGGCTTCAAGTCTTTCAACACATATTTTTATCGGCTGTATAACTTGATTAATATAATAGCATGTTATAAAAAAATTATTATTATTAATCGTATTCTTTACAAATTTATTAGTTAAACTATATTCATAATTAGTTAATATCTAAAAAAAATTAAAAAAAATTTAGAAGATTTAATTTAATTAAAATATAAATATCGATATACTATAATTATAGATATAAATATCTAATTAAATACTGGTCGTAAATGTAATAGTGAATCAGTTGTATTTCATAAATAGCACCATCTTGTTTTTGTATAAGTTTGTAATCTGCTGCCTTTAATTTTCATTGCACGAATTCCATCTTCAATTAACCAATTAGGTAAATATGATTTATTAATGAATTTCATTACATGACCACAAGTTTCTATAAATGTTTTTACTCGAGCAATTTTTGTAAAATCTTTAGCGATCAAATTAATTAGATGTGCAATACATCTTATATCTAAAATATGTAAATAATTGTGATTTGTAATTCTTCATGCAACTTTGCAATTACCTCCAGAATCCGTTACAACCGCAGCAAATTTTTCAAGACCAATTAAAGTTATTATTGTATTAATTTCAGACACTAGAAATTCTCCAGTATTTGACTTATTAGAATAGTCTTTTAATGCTACAAGGTATTCTTTACGATTAACCGTAGTAATAATATAATTATAGATTGATGAACCTTGAGGCGAAGACCATCCATCTAAAGCTAATAATAATAAAATAAAT